CTGAATCCCATACTGTACATGACAAAATCTATTGAATCTATTTAAATTCAAACCCAAGAAAGATCAGATTTACACATAAATTTTATGAAATTTCTTTAAATCCTATAAAACTTAATAAAAGCAGTACATTTTTAATAGATTGTTTATTTTAACTATTGTAAATTTTGATATTATTTATTTTCTATAGAAAATGAATTGTATTTTTTAATTGAAGAATTGAAAGTTGAACATAATAAAATGATCAGTAATTTAAATATGCAAGCAGTAGTAAAACATATTATACCAGTTACAGAATCTGAAAATTACTTATTAATAAAATTGAGAGAAATACAAAGTGTTTTTTAGTTATTAAGAGTAGGAGATTTAGAGATTTTGTATGTAAGAGACCAGATAATTCAAAGAGAATTTGGTAATTTTATTATAAAATTGGATTTAAATCCCTACTAATATTATAAATGTGAATGTAAGTTTGTTTGTTACGCTTTCACGCAAAAAACTACTTAACCGATCATCATGAAAACTTTGTACACACATTCTTGGAAGTATTAGAAGTAACATAGGATACTTGTTATTAAAAAAAAAATTTATTTTTTACGAAAGAAAAAAAAATTGTTTGTCAAAAAATTTGAATCACATTGATTCAGTTCTATTGGAATGTAATGATCTTTGATATTTATCGAAGGACTTCAACGCGAGCGAAGCAGCGTGTAAATGCTAGTTAAAAATAAAATCATTGTTTATAAAAAATTAATCTTTGTCATCACTTTTTTCAGCTTTGAAGATTTAGTATGATTTTCATTTAATCATACGAAAAATATAAAAAAAAATCATTATCTACAATATCATATAATTTAATATGATTTGATATAATTATACATAATTGTTTATAATTATACAAAGATTACGAAGAACATCATACATAAATTTTTAAAATTATACATAATTCTATATAATTATGTATAATTCTACATAATTATATATAATTCTACATAATTATATATAATTCTACATAATTATATATAATTCTACATAATTATAAGCAATTATACAACCATAACCAAAATACAATGTAGGATTATGTACAATTATTATATATAATTTTATATCAATGGTTAAACACGAGAAAAACATTGTATGAAATTATATAGAATTATACATGATTATATATACTTTTACATAATTATATAGAATTATACAAAATGACCGAGAAAATTACGTAGAATTATATATAATTATGTATGATTATACATATTCTTACATAATTATACAAAAATAGCTAAAACTTTCTATAGAAATATGTAGAATTACACATAATTTTGCATAATTATATGAAATTTTATATTATAATATATAATTTTGCGTTGTTCTATATAATGATATAAAAATCATCTAAACTATTATATAAAATGATATATAACTATATATGATTATGCATAATTCTGCATAATTATAGATAAATATACAAAATAAAGGAAAAAATATATCCAGAATTATATACAATTATATATGACTCTGAATAACTATACATGAATCATATATAATTATACAGAATTATATATGAATCATACATAATTATATATAATTATATATAATTGCACATAATCTTTTTTACCCGGGGTCAGAATCTCTACCTTTGCGCATGTGTATCGAAAATAACTATTTTTATTTTGTGGAGAAACTGGAAAACAATTCAAAATTTTTTTTTAAAGTTAACGGTTGAACTACAAAAAAAATTTACTAGTTAGAAGGATAATAATTGCTGTTGTTTTTATTTGAAAATAATGATAAAAAGTGAAAATTAAAAAAAATCTCGTTATGTGCATTTATTTAAAATCCATAAATACTTGTTTCTACTTTGAGGGCCTATAACTTTTAAATCGTTCAAGTTATGAAAATTTTATATCAGATCAATTTTGTGGAAAATTTCATTTCATACAAGAAACATTTGTCAAAAAATTTTTACTATTTCTTTTCCACGATAAATAATTGTTTTTTTAAACAAAAATCTTTTTTCCATGTTACTTACATGGGAAAGGGGACCCTCCTTTGAGGCTAACTTATAATTGGAATTAAAAATTTTTTTCAGGCAAGAAAAATTTTTTCTTACCCTGAAGAAACTTTTAAGACGTCAAGCAAAAATAAAAAAAAATTTTCAAAAAAAGCACCCTAATGTTTATTTATAAATTATATATATTGCAGTGCATTAATATTCATATTTTGCAAATTAGATTAAGCTTATTACTATTTCTATCAATCTATAATCTATTAAAACTATGAAATAGTTTAATTGTTAATGTAAGAGATAAATATCATTTAATAATATTATTTTATAAAATCTTATTCTTTTAACATTAATTCATAATTATTTATAAGTTGTATACAGGATATAAATTGTTAATTTAATTTTTATATATTTCGTTGCAATATTATATTAAAGCAAGTTTAACAAAAATATGTTAAATTTTTTTTAAAGTCAAATTTTTTTAAATCCTAGTAGATAGATTTTATGAATTTCATAAAAATTAAAATATTTTGCAACCACGCACACTAAATACGTTCCAAAATTATTTCTTTAATTTTTAAACTTACAACAAAATGTTTTTTTAATTTCCGAAAATTATATAAAATCATATCGGTTACTTGGATTCTTTAATTTTTTTTTTATATCTTTTCGTAAAGAAAAAAAAAATATGTATGTGTATCAGAGTACACAGGTAAGAAGTAAAACTTCTTTATGACACATCATTTTTCTACTATTTATAACTTCATAGAAATTGGGTAGATAAAGCTTAAGAAAAAAAAATTTTTCCATATTAAATTAAAGATATTTCAATATTATAATAACCATGCATACAGATAATAAGAGTAATTCATTTTATCATTGCACTTATGATAATTATTGTATTTCATCGCATTATAATTAACATTGTTGTCATTATTTAGACTATGCCATTATTTAATCTAAAAATTATTTAATCAGTTTATAAAAATTATATAAAAAACATTAATATTCAAATCTTATGTTTTCCGACACTTCCGTTGCATACCGGCGTGACGTTTCATCTGTAAAAATTTTACCCTCATGCGCCTAAAGAAGTTTCACTTCAAAAATTTTGTTAATATAGTCTTATGAACGTGGACTTGGCGCAATTTTTTACAGTGAAACAGTTTTTGTTCGGATTGATAAATGACTAGACAATTGTCTGCTTAAATCACCAGTGATGATTGTCATTGCGAACGCATTGTAAAACATATAATTTCTACCTCGCATTACCTACAATAGATATATTACCCTTATGATAATATACCATCCTTAAATTTAAAATTACATGCATATTTATTATCATCGGAAAAAATATATTTGAGGAAAGATGTCTCGAACCATTTTATATACAAATGCAAAAGAGATGAGTTATTGAAGTATAAACAAAAATTTAAGTTAAAAATTTTTCAATGAGATAAACATTAAATAGTAGGATAGTTGTCACAAGACATTAGCTTAGAATAGTGATGTGAAGAGTAGATTTATTATACATTTTCCAACAGTAATATTGTATTATCACAAACAAAAATGGCGTTTACATGTGTCAAATTCTTATATTCGCTCTTATTTAAATATTTCTATGACACATTAACGTATAGTAGTACAGAATAATACTGAAGTATAGAGTTGAAAAACTGAGTTAGTATGGTGAGTATCTGTGTATTCACTGTATTCTATACTTTTAAATATTGATTCGTAATGTCTGACATTCTAGAACGACAATGGAAATGGTTTTTAATCAGAGTTTTCTCTATAGATAAAGAAAATAGTGACAAACCTTAGCAATATGAAATAAGCGTTAATATAATTGTAATTAGTAACAGTTTTTAAAAAATACTATAATAGTTACTTTTCATTTTAAATTACATTAAACTTTAACTAAAATTAGTTTTACACTCACCGGAACATTGTTGATGTTGTGTAATAGTATTTGGCCTTTAGTTCTTACATATTAAATTGTTTGATAATGACTATTAAAAAATGATAAATAATAAATCAAACAAATCTGAAAGTAATGTTCTGCTTTTTTATTTTTACTTAAATCTTACAACCAATGTTACCGGTAAATCTGGGACAAAAGTCCGCATGGGTATAACCATAAATAAGTTGATGTCCGAGATGGATGATGACATTTTTCAATATAAGATGGTATATTTTGTTATTAGTGATGTTATTATTGTAGGCAACTGTTAATGCATTGAAATAAATAATCTCATATAGTTGAGCTTATTAACTGTGTAACACCAAAACAGTCAGATATTGTACGACCCGATAAATAATTCTGAAGTATTTTTTTTGTTTATTGATAAGCCTAGCAATGTTCTGCAATTTCGATTTGACTACTTAATTCGAATATAATAAATTATCAGTCAAACATTAATCAACACTCGAGAAATTATTCATTTTTGTGATACTTGTAAACTCATCAGCAGCCAATTTTTCTATTAATTATGAAGTTAATAATTTTTAAAACTATTTAATATATTTTAAATATTTAACTTTTAACGCATGAAATAATTAGAACTAAAAAAGTATAAGTGATAAAACTATGTTAAGCTCAAAAAAATTTTTTTTTCATAGTTATACTTTTTTCATTTATAATCTCCGAATATTTGTTACAAGATATTTAAACTTTGAGAGAATTCATAGATCAAGTGTTTATAAATTATTAATTTTTATAGGCTTCATGAACAGTCAGCTTGGAGAACTGCAAATCATAATCAACATGATCCAGTTTGATAAAAAAAATTCAGCCAGGGCTTCAGCAATGAATTGTAGAAGAATCTTCATAGTTGGCTCTACCTGCTATTTGTAGGAGAATCCTATCTATGAGGTAAGTTAATGAGATTGATGATTGTCGTTTTTAATTAACTTTTAAACTTTGAATTCAAGATAAATTCGTGGGGCATTGGAAGATTACTTATAATCTTTAAAAATATATCAAAAAGTTGATAGAATGGATTCTCCGCCATCATGCTCTCTTAGTACTACAGGTCCTTTAAGTGAATTTGGTAGCAGTGGGCTTGGTGGATCGATATCAAGCGATTCTGTAAGAGCTCAGCTTGCTATTGAGGTATATTTCTTATTACTTATTTATTATACCTACAAATAAAATATTGATTCCAAAACTATGAATTTGATCTTTCAATTCTAGATGCAAGAAAGTGATATGGAAAGTAAATCTTTGTCTCAAGATTCATTCGATTATTCTGATGGAATGAGTAATCAGAATTTTAATACTTTAAAAAAAGGACCAGGGTGGGCAGACTTAGATAGCAAACTTGAAGTGATAGCAGTAGTGGATGTAGCAATAAAACCTCCACCAGAATTTCAAGACAGTCCGTCACCACCAGATTCAGAACGATCTAATTTACCAATATTGTGCTATCCACGGTCACTACGGAAAAAAATATCCCGGTTGATTGAAGAATTGAGCGAAAATTTAGTTCAACAAATAATTGAAGAAGCTCTTGATATTTCTTGTCGTATTTCGTGGCCTGAAGGTCGTTTAGCTCAAGTTCCTTCTACTCGAACAATCCAATCAACGAACATCGCTCACATTTTTAATTCCAAATTACGTTTTTGGGCATCAGAAATGTTACCATCATCATCTTCACGTCAAGCGAGCACTGCTACGATTACAATAACTCCATACAATACACTCAATCGTCCAAACTCACGGTGCTCATTGGCTTCTTCACGCCTTTCAAGTTCGCATAACTCAATAAATACTTCAGGTTTATGTAATAAGGCTGATGATAGCAGCTTCATAACGTCAGCAATGTCCCATGATGTATTAACAACGAGTGAGATAAGTGATATGTATAATGTTCCCTTTGACTCTGACATTTATACTGTTCCTATCGATGTTATAAAACCGTTCCACGAACTGCGAATTCCACAACGTCCAAAGCGTCATCGTCATCATCGTAAAAGAAGAAGAAATGTTTCAGCTAGCTCACAAAGTGAGTTTGAAACTCATATTCAGCAAACAAGACATTATTGTGGTAAGCCTCGTGCTGTAACTCATGTTATAAAATCACAACGGTTATTAACTGATGTATGTTGTAACGAAAGTGGCAACGGTAAACGTCATAGTGTACCAGGGACTTCAGGACGACATGGATCACGTATTCCAAATAATAGTCATATTCATAACATTGGTGAACCAATTCATATGACATTACACGAAGTGCGTCAATATTTGGAAACACTTTATTCAAGTTCAAGTGACTCTAGTGACCATAAAATCAAGTGCAATAAAGTATTAACAAACCAAACACCAATACATCTTAGTGTACCAAAAAATGTAAGTGTAAATAATAATAACAAATATAGTAATCCTCATACTAATTGTACAACAGATATATCGATTTCCAATAAAAGTACTAATGGATTAATAAATAACAATAATAATAATAATAATCATGCTAATGTTAGAAAGCATAAAAAAGGATCGTTTGTAAATGTTAAACATAAAAAAGTAAAGGATGAATCACATAAAGAAAAAGGTGACACTGATAGAGAAAAAATAAAAAAAAGCCAACGTAATTTTTCATTGAGTTTAAAACAAACACTGTGCAATATATTTAGATTTAGGCGATTAGGATCACCTGATCATTTTGTTGAAAAACGAAATGATATTGTACAAGGTGAAATTGTCGAAGAGGAAGAAGGTGATTCTGATCAAGCAGTCAATAATAATAACACAACGCTGGATATTGATTCATCTGCGTTAAAAATGCCATTTTTTAAACGTGCGTTACCACCTTTACCAAGAAGTAATGGACAACTAAATATAGAACAAGGTGAAGATGCTTTGACGGTTATTGAAACAAAAATTGATTCACCACCAGTAATTCATCATGCTTTAACGCCAAAAGAAGAAGAAATGCCGCCTGAAGATACCAGTATGGACTTTGCAGCTAGTATTGAAAAAGTTAAAGATGTAAGTTATATCTTGAACTTTTAAATTATTGTCTAATCATACATTAAAATTTAGGAAATAGATTTTCTTTTTTCAATAAATGACCGGTTTGCTAATTTATAAGTTAACTATGACGTTCTCATATCGATTACGGTGGTTCTAATTATCACTGAAATTTTTTTTTCTTTATTTCCATGAAAAGAATAACAATCTTTTCTTATTCTAAATTTTCGATATTCCACACAGTGAAGTTACATTATTGATTATAAAAAACTTATTTTGACAAATATGAGAAAGGTAAAATTTTGAAAAGTTAAGACATTCTTGATTAACCCGCCAGGTAAAAAAATGTATATATAATTGGGTATAATTATATATGATTATATATAAAAAATGGCCCGGCATAATTATATATAATCATGTATAATTATATCCAATTATATGCGATTATATATAATTATATTAATTTTTAACTTCCCGCTAAAAATCTCAGATTTTCAAAAATCGGGAAGTTATTGTTTTCACCCCGTTTTGCAAAAATCGAGTTTTCATCAGATCTCCTTATAACTCCGTATATTTAAGTAGATCTAAGAAATGACACGTAGATCTATGCAGATCAAAAATTTTTCGGGAAGTTTTAGGTCTGATTCGTAAGGTTATTCTTAAGGTTCGCTCTTCAATTTTTTTCATTTCAGATAAACTGTTTTCTTAAATTTAATCGATCATAAAATTTTTAATGACTTTGAAAAAGTTTGATTTAAAAGCCATGAGCTTGATTTGGAAAGTTGTAAACATTAACGATTATATGAGAGAGTATATTATTGTTAATTTTATTTTTTATCTCTTTAATTATACTGGATAATACCTTGAAAATGACGACGAAGCCTAATCTTCCATTCCGTCGCACTATGAAATCGATGATAATCTCCAGGTGCTAGATATACTGTTAACTGATACAGTGAATTATTTGAATTTTTTAAAAGAGATTTTACATAATCATCGTTATCTTGATCAGTAAGCTCTTCATCTTCTTTACTTGTTTGTGATTTCGTATTGCCCAAAAAATGCCGCAGGCTATATGATATTCCCTTAACCCGTTTTACTTGAGATGTTAAAACAGGACCAAGATACAGAATTGTTCCATCTGCAGGAGAAACCTAAACATTATTCGTTTTTAATGGTAAATGAATGATAGATTAATAAAAATAGTATGATATTTTGTTGTTTTAAATGATAAAAAATTACTTACAATATTGGCATTCATAGCAATAGGTCTCGCGTTGGGTTTTAGCAGTCTTACAAAAAAATCTGATAAACTAGGAAATAAATGAATATCACAATTAATTTCGTCTAAATTAACATTGAAAAGTTCAGCGTATTTATTATACACAAATGGACGAAATTTTTGTGGTAGCTCAATACTTGATAACCATCCAATCACTCGACTCGTTACTCTCCAAGGTAAACAATAATAACACTGCATCTGTTGAAAAAAAAAAAAAAATTGATGGTAAATCGTTAATTTTTCTCAGAATTATACTGTATAATTTCGCATGAAAAAAAGGTTATTTTGATTTGGGTTATTTTTTCCTAAATTAAGAAATTTGTTAGTAAATAGAATGAACTTGCAAAAAGGCTGGGAAAAAATGATCAGATCTGATCAGATATGAACAGGCATGAGTCTTCAGGCCTGATCAGATCTGAAAAATGACCGGGTCTGATCAGACCTGGCCAGGCATGTTCATGTCTGATCAGACCTGTTCATGTCTGACTCGATCAGGTCCATAAAAAAAAAAAAGATTGGTGCCGACGGGGATTCGAACCATGTACGTTGTGCTCTTCAGACTGATACTTTACCTATTGACCCAATGACTTATTTTAATTTTAGTGTACCTTTCAAACCACTTTAAGTAATTTAAATTTTCTACATGACTTATTCTTATAGTTAACGGAGTTCTATACTTAATTTATTAATTATTAATAATTAATTATACACAGTAAAAAATTTCGCGTCATAGCGTCAAAAAATTTTGTGATAAAAATTTTTATGTTAAATATTTAACACTTTTTTGTGTTAATTTAACAAAATAAATGTTAAATTTACACATAAAAGTGTTAAATATTTAACACAAAAATTTTTAACACTAAGATTTTTGACGCAATGACGCAAAATTTTTTACTGTGTATATTAGAGTGATTTATTTGGGACGGCTATGTATTTTTTTCGCTCCATTAGCATATGGTTCTATGTAAAGTAAAAAAAAAAATTTCTTCAATGTTTATATCGTAATTATAATTTTATTCTTTTCTTTAACAATTGAAGTTTTTTTTAATTAAAACGTATAGGAAATGAAGAATTATTTGTGTGTTCTACAATTTAACAGCCTTTGACACTACTGCAATGGACCAAGGCGTAGCTTAAGATAATAACAGACACCTTGAAAGGACTTATCGATATCAACTGATATATTTTGGTATTTTAACGCTATCAAACTCAAACTTTTACTAAATAATCTTATTTTTCGCGTATTCAATGGAACACAGTAAAAAATTTTATGTCATTGCGTCAAAATTCATCGTTAAAAATCATCGTTTTGGCATGGAAAATTTAAAAGTTTATGCTTATATAAGCCGAAATTTTTGATGAAAGTTGTACATTTAAAATTTATAAGGGGATAGAAACTGATACGTCATACGGAACAAATTAATTTTAAAAATAGGACTGCAGTCTATAGTTCGATAAAATTTTTCTTCTAGACTTAAAATATCATTTAAGAGGGTAATTCATGCATGAACAGTCCTTGTCAGCTGATATATGGAGTTTTAATCCTTTTCTATTAGGCTAGAACAGACATGATCAGACATGGACAGGTCTGATCAGCTCTGAGCGTATTTAACGCTTCAGACATGAACAGGCATGGACAGGTCTGAGTATATTCAATGCTTCAGACATGAACAGACATAAGCGCAGGCATGAACAAGCTTGATCAGATCTGATCAGGTCTGAGCGTATTTAATGCTTCAGACATGAACAGACATGAGCAGGCATGAACAGGCTTGATCAGGTCTGAGTGTATTTAATGCTTCAGACATGAACAGGCATGGACAGGTCTGAGCGTATTTAACGGTTCAGACATGAACAGGCATGAACAGACATGGACAGGTCTGATCAGGCCTGATCATACATGAACAGGCCTGATCAGGTCGGATTTCAGGCCTGATCAGATATGAACAGGTCTGATCAGTCCTGATCATTTTTTCCCGGGCTTACAGTGATTATGAACAGTCCTCGTTTCGTTTCTTGAATTATAAAATCTGGTGTAAGTAAAAAATTTTTCATTCTTTATTATATAATGTAAATACTTATTTAGAACATTTGTATTTTATGATTTTGATATAAAAAAATTAAAGTGATTTGAGCGTTTAGTAAAAAAAATTAGATATTAGGCATTGGTTTTATTTGTATCACAATTATGTTTTATACAAAGAATATATTTTTAAATATATAAAATATTTAAAATTATGTGTTTAAAAAGCTACAGGAGTTTTTAAACTTTGAATTTTACAAGATAATATAATTAACTTTGGACATTTACACATACTTCGTACATGAGTTTATGTGCTTACGAACTTATACATTCAGCAAACAAGCATATAACATCCTATAATAATAGCATTCAACCATATTAATAATAATCCCTACATTCTCTCTCTTTTTACTATTTTAGAGCAGACAATTATTAATTTTTACTCATTTTCTCAAATTCTCAACATTTAAACTAGACATGTTAATCATACATCCCTGCTCTCAATATTCTCTACCACTTTATCACCGTCTTTTAATAATCCTTCTATTTCTCTTAATATTTTACAAAATTTTTGGCACAGACCCTCGCTTGGTGTTTTTATTATTTTTTTCTTTTATATTGTCTTCCACACACGTTTCCCGCCACTCGAGTAAGTTGCTCCGCTCATTTTCGCTCATAGTCTCTAAAATTTTTTCACATCCACACAGGTGATCTAGAGTTTCAACCTCCACTTTGCACGCTCTATATTTACAATCTTTGTAACTTTTCTTACCAGCTCTTACAATGTTTCCACATCTAGCTCTCGCCTAAACTTCTTTGTCTCTTCCTGATCCATTTATTACTTGCCAGTGTATCTCATTATCTTCATTTAATATTATTTCTTTTTAGAGGCTATTATATTTTGAACTCTCGATTTGCTCTTATTCATTTTTCATCCATTTATTATTATATATTTCTATTCCCTCTTTTATTCTGTTGTCGATTTTCTCGACATCCACATTGTTGTAGATCATCCGAAACACTTCCTTGCATTCTATCTCTCTTGCTAGATTTGATACTTTTCTATCCCATTTGGATGGGCATTTGTTTAATATACCCCTGGCTTCTTCTTCCAGACATATCTTCGGCCACCTATTCTCATCCATTCTCATTACATCTACCACATATCTCCACATTCTTTCCCTGACCACTATCTCAATCTCTTGTATTTATGTTTCTCTCCTGATTATGTATCCGGGGGTATTTCTCGCCACTTCTAGCGCCAACCTGTTGAGCTTATTTTCGATTATTTTTATTCTTGATAAATTCTCACTTCCCCACGTTTCTACTCCATATAGGCATGCTGCCCTGACTAGAGAGTTGTATAGGTATACTCGATCCTTCATATTATCTCTCACTGTCCTTTTTATCACTCCCCATCTCGCAATCTTAATTTTGTTTGCTTTGTTTGTTATTTCTTCTAGGTGTCTTTCCGCACTGTTTTTTGTGGTAAAAATGTAGCCGAGGTAATTATACCTGTTTACGACCTCTAATCTCTCTCGTTTGTAATACCATCTTTTCTCCGTAATTCTTCCACCATTTCTGAAAACCATGATTTTTGTTTATGCTGCATTCACCACTAGCCTGTTTTTATCTACATATTTCTCCACTTTCTTGATCATTTCTCTCAATCCTTCCGCTGATTCCGCCACTGCCGCAGCATCGTCCGAATATTTGGCCATATAGATCTTTGTTTTGCCAATAGCTGTCCCACCCACGTTTTTTCGTATAATTTCATCCTCCATATCATCAATAAAAATGTAAAATAAAACCGCTCTTAATACACAACTCTGTCTCACTCCCTGGTTCACTTCAAATTCCTCAGTTTTTGCTTCCCCTCCTATTATTTCACTTGTTGTCCTCCCGTAGATTGAATTTATCATCATATACATTAGGGTAATTAAAAAAAAAAATCTGAAAAACGGTTGACCCTAAAGGCCATCCCTGCAACTTCCCGCCAATTCCATACCTAAATGCTTGAAATTGCACTTACGACGTTTCTGAACTCTTCGAGCTTAAAAAAACAATTTGTGTGTTATTTTGAGCTCTCCGAGCTCAAAGAAACAGCTTTTGTATGCTTTTGAGCTCTTCGAGCTCAAAAGTCTGATAGAATTTCTAAATGAATGAATCGATTTTCATGCGGTTGGCAGAAATTCACGCAGTTTTTTAGAATCTATTATATACTTTTAAACACAAACTGATCGAACTGAAAATCTTAGAGAAATTCGAAAAATTCACTTTTTCCGAATTTTTTCGACAACGATAACTCACGAACCAATCAACCAATTTTTACGTTCTTGGTGGTGATCGACGTAATTTTTTGAGCTTTAATAATTATTTCATGTCGTCAAAAACGATCCGAAAAGAAATCTTGAAGTTATGTGACCGGTCCCACGGTGATCAACGTAGTTTTTCAAGGTTAAGAGCTGATTAGTTTTTGGAATTGATCGGTAAAGCCGTTTAAAAGTTATTCCAAAAAAAAATTTTTCGAAAATTTTGTTTTTGAGATTTCTAAAAATCTAGCGAACCGAATCAATTCAAATTTTCACGAAATTTAATGGCTATGATACTCTTTGAATCGCCACCGATTTCGATCCGATCGGCCAAGCCGTTCAAAAGTTATAAGAGGTTTACATACTGTAACGTGGTAAATTTTTATTCGACGCCCAATACTTGGGGTATTATAATATTCCAGGCTCGAATCCAACGTTGTGAATGTTATGTGTGAATGAATGAAAATTGTACTAATTTTTATGAATTTATTTTGTGTAAAATACGTAACGCTGGACGAGTAACGAAGACAGAGCGAGTCAAAGTGGGTACGAGGCTATGCATTGGAGCGACAAGGATGGAGCTACGACGTAAGCAAGCGAGTACTGAAGCGAGTACCGAAGTGACGAGGCACCGAGCGGCGTAAACACCCGAGAGGTCTGAAGACAATCGACGCTGCACTGCCGCATTTTTCCAATAAGACGATCAACATCGATGACAGTTGGTTAGTCAGTACTGCAGGAGCAGAGGTGACTAAAAACTGTCGTGAAGGTCCGTTGACTGTTAAACGGACCTAGATCAACTATCGACGTGGATCAATTCCAATGGAAATGAAGACTAGCGCCGCCAACTTCAATGAAGGAAG